GGAGATGAATCCAATATAAAACGGGAAGAGGTTTTTGCAGCTTGTTTTGCGGTATTCCCGCGAAGAATGGTGATGGGCGATCCGTAGCGGAATGGATTAGAAAGTGAGAGTTACTGATGTGGTCACAGATAAAAACAAATGTACCGGCCGATGATCTGCCGTTCCACTGGCCCTATACCACAGCAATTATTCGTCGAATCCTAGCCTTCCAAATTTCAACAACAACAAAAAACTTGAGATCGGGACGTCATAGGCGGATATGAAAAGTCTAGAATGGTCTTGGTTTGCGCGTCTGGGTCGCGTGGTGATGGGAAGAGTACGAAGTGTAAGATGCCAGATGCGGCACACGAGTACGCCCGGCAACCCTGTCCACACAGCCGCGACCAGCCGCTCTCTCCCATTGTCTACTATTGATCCGTCATCCGCGAGGGCTGAAAGGGAAGTGGATGTTTTCTTCGTGGACTAGCACCCCGACCCAGGGTAAAGGCTGCACATGCGCACTGAGTCGATTTGTCCGCTCTCTTTGGAAACTGCGGGCAGAACAAAAAAGCGACAAAAAAATTTGAGATACCGATCGCAATATCTGCCATTTTCCCATGGTACCTATGGGAATGGCCGATAGATATAGATGCGTAAGAGCGAAACGTAGCTCTGCAGGAAACACGGCATCCCACCAAGCGTTTCCTAGCCCAGCCGTTCCAACACGATATCTTTTATCCTCCCAGGATCGGGCACAGCTTCCTGTTGTTCACGGGACTCATCACCACCTCAATTTCTACGTTCGGTGAGTCACGTCCCTCCCCCTTCCTCCCTCCCTCTTTCTCCCTCCCTCCCTCCTTCTCCCTCCTACCTTCTACCTTTGTGGAAGGAAAAGTTAACAGTGCAATTCAACTGAAAATTAAATTTAGGAGCGTGCTGAAAGATGAAACAATTCGATTTTCATTCGATTCCAAGAAATATTTTGTTTTGTACATGTACGGTCTTTGATGCTTCTTCATGGAAAAGTTGCTATAAAAAAAAAAACGCAGGCAGCGACTTCAGCAATTTTTTTTGGTCACGAGCAGCGATAATAAATTTTCAAAATTAATTTTTCATTTACAAAAGCATAAAAGATATTGAGTTCAGAACGTCTCATTCGATCGATAAGCACGACCTTTTCCCCTTCAGCTGAAGATCTCTTAAAGGCTTGCCGAAAAGACTCTTCCTGCAGGAATCTTTACCGATCCTCCATCTGGATCGAAAGTTCTCCGTTCGGTGAATGTCACGAGGTGCAGGGTGGATGATCTCTCTCGGCAGCGTTCGCGTTCGGGAGATCCCACTGGCTCTTGGTCCTCACTCGGGTCCTGCAGGGTGTCGGGTCTTCTTGCTCCGCCGTCTCCGGTCAGTGCAACTTTTCCTTGCTTCTCGGTCGTTAACGGAACATTTTCTTCTTTCGATTTGTGATAGGAATTACTCGTGATACTTGGTAGTACTGGGCGAGGCACGAGTTTTGCATTTACTTTTAAAAAATATGAAGCATACGTCCTACAAGGAAACCGTTGCATAAAGAGACTTCACGGCAATTACAAGGAAATACATTAATAAATAAGTAAATAAACCAAACTCCTTGGGACATTCGTTATGAAGGGATGGGCCTGCTGGCCGAGACATACCCCGATGAACGCGAGCGAGGTATCGCGATGGGGATAGCCCTGGGAGGATCGGCTCTAGGATGCATCATTGGACCCGCGTTCGGGGGAGTCATGTGCGAGTTCGTGGGGAGGTCTTCGCCGTTCGTCGTCCTTGCTGCGTTGGCTCTCGTCGATGCGAGTCGGTCCGGCTCTTCTTTTTCCGTTGTGACAATGACGATTCCGTTGTCGTTTTGATTTCTGCGATTTGTTGGCGTTGTGTTAGTGTTACAACTGGTGGCTGTGCAGCCGGGGGTGAGGCGGCAGGAAGAGGCAGGACCGTCTCTTGGACAGCTCTTCGAGGATCCTCACGTCTGTATCGCTGCAGGTTTATCATATTCTTCTTTCGAGGCAGACGCCCCCGAAATGTTTTATTCTGAAACATTCGGACTACCCATGTCCTTGACAGGAGGACTGCTTTTTGGAAATATCGTAACCGCTACCCTAGACCCGACTCTTCCCGCCTGGATGGAACGCACCATGTGCGCGTCGATTTGGGAACGAGGCGCAGTCTGGTTTCCAAATTCCATCGCGTATTTGATCGGCATCGGCATATTCGCACCTCTTGGTCATAAGATGGGAAGGTGAGATGTTTGAAATCGAGCGGAATGCTTCCAATTTCTTTGGGAGCAAACTATGGAGGACTAATTTGTCGGACAGGTGGCTCGTCACGATGCTGGGTCTCATCCTGTTGGGGTTCAGTTTGATTCTCGTGAGTTCGTTTCTGCATTTCTGCCTTCAAGCCATATGTACGAATCCCTAAAGTGTCGTGCGGATTCAGATACCAGAGGCGAAGGCAGTGTGGTTCGTCTTCGGACCGATGGCAGGGGTGGGATTCTCCAAGGCCTTGGTGGACGCAGGCGTCGGGCCCGAATTGGCACGCGTGGTCGATTTGCGACATTCTTCCGTCTACGGGACTGTCTATGCGATCGGGGATCTCGCGTTCCGCGTTGGATTTGCAGCAGGTCAGCACCCCGAAATCACAATAAAAAGTAAAATTCTGGTGACCATTCCACGAAACTATAGGGTCTAGGCTGTCGGGTCGGGTGATCGGTACAAAAATCTCATCGGTCATCTCACCCGTCTACTAAGAAACGAGCCAACTCACTCATTCTCCGCTTTGACCTCCCATAGCGTTCACTTAGCGGATTTCAGGATTTCCCTTGAAAATCCGTCTCGTTGCTAGGTCCCGCTCTGGCCGCGCTGCTGGTGAGGAACGTCGGCTTCGACTGGATGCTCTATCTCATGGCCATCCTCGGCCTCCTCTACTCCCCGCTTGTCTTCTTTCTTAGGGATCTTTCCACCGGTGAAGGGAGAAAGGTGAGATCCCCGTTAATTGCAGTGAACTTTGCGGCGATGAATTCTTCTATTCTACCCGACTGAAAACGAACGATAAGTAACTTTTCGTTAATTTTAAGCCCTTCAACGTCAACGCCCCCCCCGCAGCAATCCTCATGTTGCATGCATGCTTCATTGCTGACTAGCCCATAAAAATTGCTATCCTCGTTTATAGGGCTCAATTTTCGCGTTTTCCATCTGCATAGTGCATATTCTTGTTTTACACAAGGGGGCACTCAGTACTTTGCTCCCTCTCCGTGGCGCCCACTGATGTAAGTTCGACAGGTAGAGCTTTTCACATCTAAAGTATACTTAATTAAGAACGTGTAAAGATTCCTTCTAAAATTCCTTCTACCCTCCAGCATCATTTATATCTATGCACTTGCAACAACGATAGATAGGATCGAAGAAGTCACAATAGTTACAGTATGGCAGATCGCTGTCCTTCACGTTCTCCAGTGAATCGACCGGCTGGGGATCCCGCGGCCTTCACTCTCCTGGTCGGAGGCTGGCGCGCGCTCCGGTGGCCTCGGAAGCGCGCTCCGGTGGCCTCGGAAGCGCGCTCCGGTGGCCTCGGAAGCGCGCTCCGGTGGCCTCGGTAGTTGTCTGCGCGAGATAATGATTAGATCTGGTTTCCAGAAACGAAAAAGCTTTTCTTGTCACGGACACGTCAGCTGGCAAATGATGCGTGCAGCCCTGTACGCATATTCAAGATGAGCGAAAAGCTCGTCTCAGGTCCGTTCGCGGTTCCTTTTCGAAAGAAATAAAGGAAAATACCGTTTTTATTTTCCTCCTTCTGAAATTGGACAAATTCTTCCTCGAACCGCATCAAAAATCAAGAATCATCTCATCCGCATCATTAAGCAATTTCCAAGGATGCAATTATGCAATTGCTTCAAACGCAGCAGGAAACTTCGAATGGGGAGAGGATGAAGTTTCGGGTGATAAAGCGGAGGAAGAACATTTTCCAGAAGAAATTCCAGAAACTCCGGCGACTGAGACAGAAACACCATCGTCAAACCTTTCCAAGAAAATTTCCTTGAACAATTTGAACCGAAAAAAATTTTCAGTTTCGTCTAAGAAGCCTGATGACGTTTTGGCGGTTTCATTGGTTTTTCGCGATCGCGAAAAATAAATTCCTTTTGTGTGAAAGAAATTGAATTGGGATGTTGGGACCTTTCGTTTCGTTTTCGGTGAGTCTTTCACCTCGGAAACTTTCGCACGAAAGGCCTTTCCCTGGTGTTTAAATGGACCTGGAGATGAGCTTTCGTCGAAGGCGGGAAGCTGACACCCCTGACGAATGCCAATCCAGCAGGATATTTATAAAGGTTCTTCAATAATCCCCATAATACAGCAAGTCGGAATTATAATCACTTATTCTAATTACCATTCTAATTAATAATCTAATTACTCGTGCACACACACACACACACACGCGCACAGACAAACACACGAGATCGGGCAGGCTTGCGCCGCGTTTATTATCGATGCCAAAAACTCGTAGAGATTTCAAAAACCATCCCTGAGAGCTGGAGAGTTTTTGCATAGTCCAAGGTTAAAGTACAGCTGCGACGAAAAGCACGATGAGCTCGGCATTCATTAAATAAAATAAATCCTGTTGAAATCGTGAATCGATCAATTCCAAACACGAGTGCGAAAGAAACTTATGGCAAAATTACCCTTTTTCATAAAATTTGCCATAAAATTCCAAGGAAGATGGCAAACAATGCAAATTGCATAGAATTCTAGTGATAATAGCAAATAATCTAATAAAAACAGCCATAAAGTCTGCCATAATATTCCAAAAAATTGCCATAAAATTGCAATGAAGATGGCAAACAACTTAATAAAACAGCCATAAAATCTGCAATAAAATAAATGCCGCAAACAGGCACTCCAAAACCGGAAGAAGAAATCCCTCCGCCGGTCGACATCTTCAGGCGACGGGAAAACACCGGGGGGGGGGGGGGGGGGGGGGGGGGGGGGGGGGGGGTGGGGGGGGTGAGGGGGGGTGAGGGGGGGGGGGGAAAGGACGACAGAGGAGCTTGGGAGGAATCACGAGGGGATTCTCGTCATTCCACAACAGAGACCTTCATTGGATGGACGATGGAGGTTTCTCGTCTTCCTTCTTGTCAGCGTCCGCCTCGTCCGCGGGCTCCGTGTAGCTCAGCGAGGACTTTCCGTTGAGCAGGCGCTGCGGGGACGAAAGTCGACGTTCTGAGCTGCTAGGACTTTTGCTAGGACTGCTGATCCAGTCGCGAAAAATCTTAGGCTGAGCGGATTATCCGCATATCCCCGGGATGGGATCGGCGGAGTTCGAGATTCGAGATTTTTCCCGATGTTTATATGAAAAGTTCCCGGCTCAAGGCGCTTCCCATCACACCATTCTCATGGAAAGATCAAAATACTTAATTACGAATTAATTCACCTTACTACTCCACGCACGTCAAGTAACACTGCAAGATGCAGCAGCAATGCTGATCGATCCGGACAATTTCATTCTTTAGCTCCACCTACCCCTCCCGCAATTAGCGGCATCAGCTCACAAAATTTCTTTTTGACCTGCCTGCCATCATGACCTGCCACGACCTGCCACGACCGACCACAACTAATCCCACCTTCGCCTCCTCGCGAGCAGGAGGATTCCGAAGGAAGAAGAGAAGCGGAGAATAGGCGAAGCAGATGATGGCCATGATATATAGCATCCAGTCGAAGCCGACGTTCGTCACGAGTTCCGCTGCCAGAGCAGGACCTGCGGAAAGGATTAAAAATCAGCACCCGAGGGGTCACGGCCTATTCAATTTATGTAAATGAAAAATGAAGCAACGAGAAAATGATACGAAGACGGCGGCGTAGTGGTAACTCAACCATCGGAGCGCATGATATTTTGTTTAATTTTTTTTTGCCACTAGGATACTGATGCGAAAATTTTATTCGTACGAGGCTGCATGGCAGTCGATAAGCGATACATCTGGGACTTTAAGCATGTTATTTTCAGAAGAAAGTAGCGGAATTGCCCAGGACGAGTATCCGTTTTCAGGGTAAGTGTCATTTCCAAGAACAAAATTCAAAATTCCATGTTCTACGATAAATACTGTGATAACTTTTTGCTTCGACTCAAAAAAAATATATAAAAACCTCAAAATCAATAATGACTCCCCGATAATTTCCACGAGTCATCTCGCTTATTTCATTATTCCCTGACGTTAATGACAAGCACAAAACAAAACGGCCGCAAAAATTGCGAGTCCGCTCACCGACGGCGAATCCGAGACAGAAGGCGACGTCCCCGATGGCATAGACCGTCCCGTAGACGGCAGAGTGTCTGATGTCGACCAGCCGAGCCAGCTCGGGCATGATACAGGTGTCCACCATCCCCACGGAGAAGCCCAGCCCGCCCAGCGGGGCGATCAGGTCCACGGCTCGCGTCGATTGAGGCACCTGATACGAGACTCAAAGGAATCCAAGCGAGAAGGATGGGGAAGGAAGGGGGACGAATGCGGAAACTCACGAGGGCCAGACTGGTTCCCAAAAGGATGAGACCGACCAAGGTAACTACCCACCTGTCAATAGAAAAATTTTTTTTCCTCAATATTCTGATGGGAACATCCACAAATAGCTTCGTGACAGTGAAATATTGGCATTGAAAATGATGCCTCGCGAAGGCATCCCGGAAAATAATTATTTTTGCTTCTCTAAAGATGACGAATTAGACCATTCTGAGGAAGACGTCATCACACCCTTGCTCAATTCTGTACTTAAACGTGCAAGCAAACAATCATGCATTAATAAAAATAAAATGAAAATCGGTCACATCATGTCGACGCACCCAGTCGCCAAAAATTGGGGGCAACCCTCTCACCTTCCAATTTTATGCGCAAGAGTGGGAGATATGCAGGTGCCGAGCAGGTACGAGATGGAAGGCGAGAGCCAGACGGCGCCCTGTTGCCAGACCGGGGCGCACATGGTTCGCTCCATCCATAGGGGATACGATGGCTCGAGGATGGAGATCGACATGTTGGCGAAGAGCAGCACTCCTGTCGGCAACATCAAGAACTCGTTGCGGTTTGGGACTTAAAGGGTTTTTTGGGGCGGTGCAAAATATGCGATCGACCTGCAGCGATGCAGATGTAAGGGTCCGTGAGAAGCTGAACGAGGGACGGTCCTGCCATCGTCTCCTTCTTCATCTTCGGCTGCAGTGCCACCAGCTGCAACACTGCAACGACAAATAGAAAAAGGGATTTCGAGATTCCCCATCGATTTTCCCCCGACGAGAGGAAAGAGCCGAACCGACGCGCATCAGCGAGAGCCAATCCAGCAAGGACGACGAACGGCGAAGACTTCCCCACGAACTCGTACATGAACCCCCCAAACGTGGGTCCAACGACGCATCCAAAAGCCAATCCTCCCAGGGCTATCCCCATCGCGATGCCTCGCTCTCGTTCTTCGGGGTATCGCTCGGCCAGCATTCCCATTCCTTCCAAATGGAGAAAGTGTCAGGCCCAGTATGATTTAGTAACGTACTATTTGGTTGCATTTCAAGTTTGTTTTTTGTGCATACATATGAACAATCCAGTTACGGTTCGAAATACCAACTTATCTCTCGTTTGTTGTCGTTGCTCATAGGCATAGTCATGGTACCATCCACATATTACGCGTTCGCCTACCTTCACGCACTTGATTCAACGGCTCGTTCTCGCTTGAACTTTAATGCACACTTTTCGATTGAGTTTTTTTTTCCGAAACTCAGAAACCAGGAAGAAGCGAGTGACAGTTTGTCACAGTGCTCTAACCGGAACAAAAATGACTTTTGTGCATTGGCTAAGCCAGAACCATTAGTGAAGTCGATATTATGGGGGCTGCGACGCTCCAAAAATGTCCAATAAATCCCCAAAACTTTGTGTAATCGCTTACGAAATCGGGGAGGACATAGCTCAGAGATCGAAAACGAGAAAATGGAAGTTTCGATTTTGAATATTAAAAAAATAATAATAATTTTTAAAACTTGGGAATGAAAGAGAGGAAGCTCCCACGAAACAGCGGAATGCTCGCCTGCCTCGCGAGTGCCTCCCCCGTCTTTCATCACTCTCGCAGTTGTTACTTTCCTGTCGACTTCTCGCCTAACATCGTACGATTCATTTATGACTCTGACACTGACCAGAGACGGTGGAGCAGGAGGACCCGACGCCCTGCAGAATCCGAGCGAGGAGCAGCATCCAGTACGACCTCCCGAACGCGAACGCTGCGAGGGAAAGAGGCCTTGAGGCGAGGGAAAGAGGGCCTTGAGGCGTGGGCCAGCTTTCGCCGGAGTCGCCCGGCGCCGACTCACCGATGGTGGAGAAGAAGATGATGGTGAATCCGGCGAACATGGGCAGGCTGTACCCGATCCTGAGAGGAAGGAAAGCACGACACATCGTTGAGAATAAGAGGATATCTATTGAGACTGCAGCATCGTTCTGTTTCGGGAGGAAGTCTGCCTGTCTTTCGCGAAGACAGGCAGACTTACAACGATCGTGCAATCATTTCCGCATGGGAAGGCAATTCACGTTAGCGAATTCCGTCGATGCCTCGCGAGAAAACGATCCCTCATGGGGCTCGCACGTACTTGTTGGTGAGGGGTCCCACGAACGGATTCACGATGAGCTGCACGATCGCCTTGGACGAGAAGAGGAATCCCACTTCCAAGTTCTCCCTCCCTTCGCCGCTCTCTGCAACACGAATCGGAGATTCAATGTCGCTTTCCGGCTTCCGTCCGGTGGTGGAGGATCACGGTTCGCCTTCCCACCCGATTGATTCCAGTGGCAGCGGGGCACGTCTTCCGTCAGGGAGGAGTTGGAGCCGAGGATGCCGTCCGTCTCTCCTCCCTTCGCGTCCTCCCGAGTGGCGTTCTTCTGCAGCTGGGTCGTCCCGTTGGGCTGCTCCCGGAAGGAGGCCAGAAGGGCGGGGATCACCGGCACTGCCGACAGAGGAAAGAGGAGATCCCAGGTCAATTTTCTGTCGTTGTCTCCTTCACCGAGCGGCTTCACCTGTCTCGTCCAGTGAAGAGCTGGATGCTGTGGTCTTGGTTAGCAAGTTTTGAAAAGAAAATTACAAATAATTCTCATTGGAACCGAAAATGCATACTAATTAGCTCAAAAAAATAAAATTGACAAAAACTTAATGGAAATATATGACAACGATTTCTATTGTTCTCTCTACCAATAGTTGCTGCAGAAAAGCTTTTACATAAAACCGTTTTCAGTCTCTTTCAGCCAGTACCATATTGGGGCATATCGGGACTGTCAGAGCGATATTTGCATTGTTACAGTTGTTACAGGAGCAAATAGCCTGAACTGTAGGGAGCTAACTGGCCTCTCTTGGACTGAATATAAATAAATAGCAATCCTCTCCTCATAGAAAAAAATCATGAGAATAAAAAATTTCTCTTGGGAAAAAAAAAATTCACTAAACGATTTGCGTTTAGAAACATGATGGCAATTAGAAAGACATCTTGAAACAGAGAAATTCATCGTTTCTGCTACATGTTAATTTAAAAAAGTGAAAGTAGTGGAAATCGCTGAAGTTTCTCATGCCGTGCTGGCAACATTTCAAGAGTGTTTCCGGTGCTATGCAAAAACGTTTGACAGCTTCCACGGCCGGCTCTTACAGCGTCTTTTACAGGTGAAAATACCATGAAATGGAAGCAGGCTACTCTTTAGCCACTCGCAATAATATGACATCTCACAGGGCACAATGATGGAAAAATACTCGGGGACGCCATGAAATCGGACTCCTTGCAAGCCAAACGACAACCTCGCGAGCCGCGCCGCGCCGAGAAGCTTTCGTAAACACCCAAGAGCAAGCGAGATGGGGAAGAGGCCTGTCAAGAGAGAGGATGCAAGTGAAACGCGATCCGTCCACTGGCAAGGACGTACGAGGGGACGTAGAACACGCATTCCCCCCCCCCCTCCCCAATCTCCAAATGAGGAATCGAAAAGGGGAAACAGGAATGATGAAAAAACGAAGAATCATCCAGCCCCGCCAGTTACCACAACTCCCATCTTCCCATCCACCTCTGAGATCCAACACACTGGCCCCTCCTCGCCGAGCATGACCCACCCTCCACCCCTTCCCCAAAGCAACTGACCATGACAACTCTACACCTCCCCCCCCCCCGAATGATCTCCAGCATACTCCATAGAATATCTCCACAGACGAAGCAATGGCTCCTTCCTCCATAATTTCCCCTCCTCCGCCCCGCATTCGTGTCGCAACAGGAAAGCATGACACAGGCCCCATGGAGGAGTGAGACAGGGGCCAGACAGCTACGGAGCATGGGGTCTATCTGAAGGAACGCGTTTTCCCTTATTCGTCTGCACTTATCTGTGTTTGTGTTTTTTTTTAAGAAGGGCTAATACTAACAATGGCAAGCCACTGACGAAACCGGATGAACCTCGATTCCGTTGCCAAATTGGATAATGCTAAATTTTCCTCGATTCAGATAACTTAGCACTTGAAGCATCATGATTAAATATTTTCAGGTATAGCGTGTTCTCCATAGGCAACACTTCGCCCATGAAGTCCAAACTTCATCTTCACCAAAAGATCTGCCATAGAAGAGTTTCTTTTAAGACTGGTAAGAATGGTTTGTGAGAATCCCACGATTCTACGCGTGCGGATCAAGGTAAGGGTATAACAATTTTCAGAACGTACCTTTCTGCATTTAAATACGTTTCAAATACATTTCTAATTAGAGAATTTTAACTGCAATATATGAAAATTTAGCAGGACTGCGAAGGAGAGACGTCGTAGGTGAGCTAGAGGGGATTTCCCTGCAGAGCACCTCCACTGAAGCTTGCAAATATAAATTTTAAATGATAAATTTGCTATCGGAAAATAGGATATTCTAAACGAAATAGCAAATACGTCAAGGTGACGGGATTTTCCCCGCATGGTAACGATTTCATGGAGTTCCCGGTATTCCAGCAAACATGGACGAAAGAAGATGGGGGGAGGGAGATACGGGAGGGAGGGAAGGAGGGAAAAACGGGAGTTACGGGAGGGAGAGAGGGAGGGAGAAAAGGGATGCGAGGCCATACCGACTGCGGTGAGGAGCATCCTGTCGACGAGGAGGGCGACGGCGACGACGACGAGGACCAGCCGGCGACTTCCCCGGCATCTCTCCAATGTCTTCCCGAAGCGAGACGCTTCCCCCATGCTCTGTCGACCTGCCGGCAACGTGGGCGATCGGCAATCGGGAAGAATCGGGGCGAAGAATTTCAGGGAACACCGCGATAACTTTTCGATATGACGTTGAAAAACACGAGAAATGCACTTTGCGGCGTCCATGCTCCCTCATACACCCACAGACCCGCGAGAGAGAATTGGGGCAGACCGTCGTCGGTGTCTCCTCGGCGAGCTGATCCCCCTCGGATATACATACACGATGCCAGGCTTTGACCCCTTGCCCCCGAAACGACGGAGGAGTCAAGGTCTCGCCGCGACCCAATTACGATCAACGCCCTCTCCGCTTACGCAACACGTGTCGAAAAAAAAATTTCGTCCCCTTCCATTCGGCAAAAAAAATTTAGCGAATTTCGGTGGGAAAAAAACTCAAATCACGACTCGACCAATTGAGTTTATCCGAGTTTTCAGATTTCGATTTTTGGCAAGAGATACATCAAGAACAAGCGCGCCGCCGATCACACAAGTGCCAATTCGTCTGCAAACTCAAAATATTTCGATTTTTGCAGGAAAGAAATTCCTTTCATGCATCGAAGAAACTGCTACGTTAATTTTTAACCCCCTTATTTCAATCGATGGCTTATATCCCCCTTTGATGATTGCTAATCGATGGCTTATTTCCCTTTGATGACAGAGAATTGATGGCTTACATCCCTTTGATGACAGTGAATTGATGGCTTATTTCCCTTTAATGACAGAGAATTGATGGCTTACATCCCTTTGATGGCAGAGAATTGATGGCTTATTTCCCTTTGATGATAGGGAATCGATGGCTTACTTCTCTGGGGTGGTCGAGCGAGACGGTGAGCTTGCCTCGATGCACCGAGGGGAATATGGGCCTTGTGGAATCTGGGCGGCCTGGCTCAAGACCCGCCTGACGAGTTATCGCCGGCTCATCGGTTCTGGTTCTTCTCTTTCTCGGCTGCGGGGTCCGTGAAACGGGGATCGGGGTCGGGGCTTCCGTTCCGCGCGATGCGAGGCGAAGCGAAGCGAGACGCGCGCGTTCTACCTCTACTGCCGGAGCCTTCGCGATACGATCGCGCTCGTTGCGATTCCCGCGCGAATCACGTTCGCAACCCACACGACGCACACACGGACTCCTCGTCGGTTCCAGCCGGCGTGTGGCGGACAGGTGACACACTGCATGTCCAGAAAGCACGTTATAATTTAGACTCGGTCTGAGAATCAGCCACACAGATGCAACATCCCGACCACATAAGCCTTGACGGACAGATATCCACATCAAGAGGAGCAGCGTGTGCCCCGGTCTACCCTCCACGTGGCGTGGAGGTCAGACCCGGGCAGACCGGGCAGACCTGGAGTGTCCATGGACGCTCGCAGGCGGCATTCGCATGCGAGAGGCCGTGTGCTCAGTCGATGTCGGCTGTGAAGCCGACACTGTTTTCCGGACGTATGGTACATATTTATGTTGTACTTATAGGATATTAAATATGATATACCTATTTCCACCTCATTAATTTCTGAGTAGTTCTAGAAGATATGAAGCAAAAGACGTGAACATTTTTTCGATCTGAATCTATATTATATCAAATCTTTATTATCATCCCAAAGGCAGAGAGGATAGCGTCGGGGTAAAAAGTGCAATAAGAAAGGTCGCCCTTTCGAAGGGAGATCGGCCTAACGAGGCGCCGAGCCCATGAAACACCCAGTACAGACCAAAGAAATCGCTTATAAAGTCGCGATGAAACTCGATCGAGAGGGGCATGAGCCTACAAAAATGTCAATTTTTTAAAATATAAGAGTGCCGAAGTATGTTAAATATATCATTTAAAATATTTAAAATATTTAAAATATATAACATATATATCAACGATATTCAAGACCCTAGCCACGAAGGATTCATCGCATGGACTTCAAAAAGCGCCAAAAACAACGAATAAAAAAAAGCGAGCGAGTCTCGAAAAACAACCGTCCAGACAGTAGACGACGGGAACGATCGCGAAACCGACAGAAACGATCGCGACGCCTCACGAATGCCGCGCACACCCCGCCACCCTCGCCCCATTTCGGCAAAAAAGCAAGATCGGTTCACCTTAACCTCGGGTACACGAAGCGGGCTCCTCGCTCCTCTAAACGACCGTGAAATGCCCCCGCTTGACCAGGACGACGACGACCTCCCACCCAGCCGCCTCTCAACTGCCCTGGCTCGTCCACGCAATCCCTCTATCCTCCACTTCTCGCCTCAGCCGGTGTCCTCCTCGCTGCACCTGCTATCCTCCACTTCTCGCCTCAGCTGGTGTCCTCCTCGCCGCACCCGCTATCCTCCACTTCTCGCCTCAGCCGGTGTCCTCCTCTTCTCGCCTCTTCCGATGTCCTCCTCGCTGCACCCACTATCCTCCACTTCTCGCCTCAGCCGGTGTCCTCCTCTTCTCACCGCACCCCGCTCTCACTCCAGCACATCCAAGTGCAACGACACACCGGATGCCGGTCGAGACTCGGAAAAGGGGGAAATCCGGGCGTCCTTGAACGGGCAGATTACATCGGCCCCTCGTCTATCAAGGTCAGCCGCTGACGAACGAATCTTATTTCTCATAATGGGCGTAAAAACCTGTCCAATCGCCGTCGAAGAGTTCAAAAGACGCAACTGCGTCGGAGCGAAGAGCGGAGCAACATTTCTCGTTCGTGCTCGTTTGTGAGGAGATTATCAAGGAGCAGGCGATGCCAGGGCAGTTGAGAGGCGGCTGGGTGGGAGGTCGTCGTCGTCCTGGTCAAGCGGGGGCATTTCACGGTCGTTTAGAGGAGCGAGGAGCCCGCTTCGTGTACCCGAGGTTAAGGTGAACCGATCTTGCTTTTTTGCCGAAATGGGGAGAGGGTGGCGGGGTGTGCGCGGCATTCGTGAGGCGTCGCGATCGTTTCTGTCGGTTTCGCGATCGTTCCCGTCGTCTACTGTCTGGACGGTTGTTTTTCGAGACTCACTCGCTTTTTTTTATTCGTTGTTTTTGGCGTTTTTTGACGTCCATGCGATGAATCCTTCGTGGCTAGGGTCTTGAATATCGTTGATATATGTTATATATTTTAAATATTTTAAATAATATATTTAACATACTTCGGCACTCTTATATTTAAAAAAATTGACATTTTTGTAGGCTCATGCCCCTCTCGATCGAGTTTCATTGCGACTTTATAAGCGATTTCTTTGGTCTGTACTGGGTGTTTCATGGGCTCGGCGCCTCGTTAGGCCGATCTCCCTTCGAAAGGGCGACTTTTCTTATTGCACTTTTTACCCCGACGCTATCCTCTCTGCCTTTGGGATGATAATAAAGATTTGATATAATATAGATTCAGNGGAAGAGCGAAGCTCCCCATCCCTTCCTCTCTCTTTCCAGGTTCGACGAGATCCGGGGGAAGGCCAGCAGCAGCTTCCCAAGCAGTATGCATGGTTTCAACCCAGTTTCCAGATCGGAGCATGGTCGAGGCTTCTCTATGTCCCATGTTGATGTCTGCTTTCCGTGCATCGCGGACGACGTCTAGGATAAGACTAATGTGCAGATGATATTGAGGGAAGTAATGAGTCACATTTGCAAGAGTGGAGCATGAATACCGTCAATTTCAAAAATGACATGCATAAAGTATGATTTTCGACGCACTCAATACCACATCAGCGATTGCCTAATTGAGGAACTTGTACATTACGCATGCCTGATAACTTCCTTAACCATATGTTGGAATTGAGCTAACATTTGTACTGGAATTATGATGCCATTAACGCAATTAAGGAACAAGTAATTTGGAACTTCTTGAATTTTCGCCTGTTTGTTTCAATCGGGCAATTTTTAGCGTATCACAACCATCTCTGGCTAAGTCTGTTCAAAAACCTTTGGAGTTTGGACTGTCCTCACCTGGGTCGCACGAAAAGTTAACGTCTTACCTATGGCGAAGAACCCCGTCATTCTTTTTCTTGCTTTCCTTGTTTTGCTTAACTCATTGTCAGCATCGAATTCTTTTCCCTCCCTGTGAATGGTATACGTTAATGAAACATAAATATGGGATAAGTGAAAAGGCGGCATCATAAAGCGTTCAGAGGAGATACCACTCCTTGCCCCAAAGGGGAAGCAGATATATGTTTCACGGAATTTTCTCTCAGTGCTCTCCACAGCTCAGTACTTTTCAGTGCGGCTTTCTCGTTCTTGTATCATAAAGTGCGAGGATTGGACTATTCCAGGTCTATTGTTCCGTTAATATTATTATTTTGTATTATAGACCCAGTGAATTGAGGTTTTTCATGATGATAGAAAGTATTTTCAATTTTTCTTTGATGTAATTTCATATCGTATCTTTTATAAATATCATACATATCATAAATCATATATTTATTATATAGGGGTGATTTATTGAAGGTAATACATTTATTGATATATATCTACTCAAGGTGTCCAAAGAACAAAGAGTTTATGCTTATCCAAAGGGTTGATTGTTAAGTCCGGGAGGTTAATTTTTAGCATAACGGAACAATCCTGAAATTCGATTAGGGAAACCCATGAAACCACAAACAATAATGACCTATATATTTTGATATTATATTTAATTTTTATGAGCACAAATTTCTGGACATGATTGCAGCCACTGAAAAAATGCCTTTTGTCGACCTTCAAATCCGCCTATGGGCTCCTTATCTAAGCCTAGTTTCTTATTGGAGGCCGAACCGACCATGCCACCCGAAATCCATTACACCTATAGTGTCCAAAGAGCAAGGATGCAAAGTTATTATTGATTGAAAAAATTTTGCAGGAGGTTTGATTTGACCAGTTTCACCGCAACGTCACAATGAGAAATTTCATGGCAAGTCGGGAAGAGAAGAGCAAGGGAACAATCCCAACAAAAGAGCATTTCATTCTCATCTCATCCACACCCCAGATCATGGATCGGTTATTTTGGAGAATCAATAGCCAGGAGGCCGCACACAGGGGAAGTGGATGCCCCTCCGAGGTACGAACGACCATAGAGTTGAGGAAAGGCGTGACAGGAAATATAGTATTACATGCTGAGTGGTAATGAGGACCGATAGAAACCATGCACAAAGAATTCCTCAGAACATGGACTAACCCCCTTTGGATCACGATTAGAGAGCGACGAAGTCCAAAAACGCGAGGGAGAAGAATGAGAAAAGAAGGGGGAAATCGTCATCATGTTCAACGCCCGCAATCGGAAGACATCCCACAACTGCTCCTCTGCATCCGAAGAGATCGAAGAAGACGCAAGGTTCCCTTCTGAGAAAGGCGGAAGGAGGTCTCTGCAGTGATGCACATTCGAGACCTGCAACCTCCTCGTCCCTCCAAAATAACCGTTGATGGAATGTGCCAAGCCACCGCAAGTCCAAGTTGCAATCAGATTTTGTCTGATGCGCATCGAGTGAATAGTCATGTCTCCACCCTTCCGGAAATCATGCAATTTAATTTCCTCAGACGCTTTAATTAATTGCTGCACCTCATCGCATTTATATTTAATGAGGGGACCTCCAGGAAGAAAATGTAAAGGATGAAAGGAATGTCGAAACCGCCTTGCATGACGACTCCAAGTTGGTCGTTTTGGAAGCGAAATAAACAAAAATACACTTGCAAGTTAGGAGTTACTTGCTGTTAGACTCGAGAGTCAAAATGATTAAAGTTGCTCCTTTTCTAGTTGTTTCTTTCGTGCTATCGGTGAGGAAATTCTGCTAAGAGGGCACCCAGTGCCTCATTTCTTCCATTGCCAAATTTACTACTATAGACAGATACAATTAAAAACAAATTTAATTTAATTAACTGCAATAATTGTGGGGGAAAAAGCATATTAAAGAAGACAGAAACTGCAAAGAGCCAAAGGTAATGGTGAAAACTACAAAACCAAATGCCGAACATACACATTGTCTCTGCAATAGCGTCTAGAGAGTGAATGTTTTTTATGAGTAAAATAAATATTTATTTGATTTATTTGATAAATATTTATTGTTACTTGGTGTGGAAAAGAAAGATTTATTCAAACCACTTGAAATCCTGAATTGAAAAAAAAAAGAAGAATGGTCACAATTCTCGTGTTCGATCTTGCAATGAGAAACTTTAGGGTGGAAATAGGGTACATATTAGAAGTACATTCTTTGAAGTACATACATTCAGAACATTTCTCATGATCATATAATAGGTAATGAAATGCGAAAAAACTTAAGAAATTGTGGAGTCCTCTCCTCAGCTCACAGGAGGCTGGAACTGGAGCCGCACGATTGTGAAGGTGCAGATGATTCCAAAAATCTAGAACAGAGTTACGAACTCGTTATTACCAAAAAATATCGGGACGTTTCTGCTCGAGAGTTGTAGAAGATGAGGGAGCAGACCGTTGTTATTAAAGATCGCGAGGCGTGAAAGAGTCCTGCTCCGGAGAGGGCCATCTGCGAGATCTGAAACTTCTCTGCCAGAAGTCGTAAATACTGGAAATATCGGAAACTTCATGATCGAGGCTGCGATGCAGATGTGTTTTCCCGTTGTTGAAGAACGAAAATTTCTTACCGGGTTGGTGGGTTCGGACTCCAGCCGGGAAATGATCCAAGAAGTAGGTCGATGGGCCTCATCGTGGACCTTCACGAGGCCGTATGTCACGATGATGGTCCGGCTTGTCTGAAAGAACAATTTCCATACGTCTCGGGGATGGGGACGCTGATTGCAGATGATGCGAAGGATGAGCTCGATGAGATATGAAATGGCATCAGGGTAAAAGAAGAGGATCAACAGAGACAACAAATCTTGGGTCGTGTCGATCAGCCTCATCAACTCCAGATGAATGGAAAATGCCTACAAGGACAAAGATCAGAGACGAAGACCCGAGATTTCGATGAGAATCCATCAGGTAGAATCCAGATGATCGAAGGAGAGTAGAGAAACATTCGCACTTGTTGGTGAGAAAACATTCCTTTCATAAGGATGAAGTTGTAATGTCGAATCTTGACTGAGAGTGGGAATGAGAGAAGAAAGATGAAAGTCGACGTCAGGACACTGTAGAGGTTGAGAAAGTAATGATCCAGAGAAAAGTAAAGAATCTCTAACGAGGGTGGCCACCCTGTGAAAAGACGATGGTTGCATATTCCATATGTACTACTATAATGGCTTGAAATGAAAATGCATGAAGGGGAATAAAGTTACCATCTTTTTCGAAAGAAGTATTCCCAGGGTACCAAAAGCCCGATTTGCCGAGGCGCTCGAAGCCACTCCATAGCTCGCAAGCGACTATATGTCCGAAGAAGTAGGTGCATATGGAAATGCTCACAGCCTTCATCTATCGGGGGACATCAAGGTCAACATGTTTGGACAGCTTAATTTTCAATGCATGAGATCCGGAGAAATCATACCAGGCAAGGTCGAGGATGGAGGCCGAAAACAGCAAGTTTTTCTTCCAGATATCGATGAGCCTGTACCAAACCTAGAAGATCGGAGGCCCTGTATGCTGATACGTAGAATATGGAGGCGAAACAGAGAGGAGCGAAGATGCTGCAGGCGAAGTTGACGATACCATCA